ATTTAATATAAGAGAAAATAAAAATATTTTATGATTTAAAAATATTAACTTTAAAATAACATGATTTTTTTTCTTTTCCTTTTTTTTTGTTGCCAATAGTTGGATTTAAATATTGTCATTCATTTGATTATAATTTATTTATACTCGTTTTTTCCTTTTTTTAACTTTATTTATCATTACTTACCACTTGGCAATCAATATTCGGATAATTGAAAACTGAACTGGAAAATTGATTACACTATTACAGGATTATTAATTATTACGCGAATATAAGGATGTTTAGTGCTGAAATGGTTTAAACGCTATGTTCAATATTCAAATTTAGCAAATTGGATATTATTTTTTCATCAAAAGGTTGGAATAAAATAAAATATAATTTACAATAAGTTGTGAATTTGTGAAAAAAAAAAGAAAACAAAAGATTCAAATGAATTTTGAACTATATTGTAGTAAATTTTCATTTTTTTAATAATTGAATAAATGCAATGATTAAATTAGCAAAAGATTGGATGAAAAAGTGAAGATTTGAAGGAAGACAGTTTATAAGAGCTTTAATTTTAAAGATTCTCTTTATATCTTATCTCATCCAATTGCATTTTCCTCGATGGCACTTGTTTGATTAACAAATATTCGAATACTTCACGATTGATTGTATCTATTCCTTCTACTCCATTACTAATACTATTACTACTACTAACTACTACTTTACGACTATTAGTACTACTACATTACCATTACTATATATTACTACTACTTCTACTACCACTGCAACAACCACTACTACCACCACTACCATTACTATTACTACTGTTATTACTATTACTACTACCTCATTACTATTTTATTAACCACTATCTTTTCAATTGTTAAATCATGTTTTCACTTAAGTCATCTAATTTTTTCCAATAAACAGTATGTAAATATATGATCTTTTAAAATTTCAAAGATAATTAACAATTTTTTTATTAGAAATACTTGTTGATCATTGATCATTTTGTAATAATTATCTATTAAATTTTATTCAATATTTTTGTAACGAAATTATAAATATCTGAGAAAAAAAAGAGGATATTTTGAATATATTTTTTAATGGTATAATTTTCGCAATAGCCTTGATCACATCATTGAAGAAGAAAGAAAGAAAGAAAAATTATTTGAACGTTTCGTTCAACTTGTCAGCAATCAAATTGTCGTAATATTAGTAATAATAATAGTTGTAGTAATAATGATATTGTGATATACATATATTATACATATATCTGTACCTGTGTTATAATGATAATTGTAAGTAAGGGTGGGAATAGGACAGATGAAATTATTCGGTGATTAAAGAAATATGACTTTTTTTTTTCGGATAGAAGGGAGAATTTCTTTCCGTAACAAAATTGTCATTCACTCATATCAAATATTACTTTTTTTTGACCTGCATTCATATATGTCAGTGGTAAATATGTTCATCGTTGTCATTGCTCAGTATTATCATCTATATTATTATCATAGTTACAATTATCTTTAATCGGTAATATTATTGTTGGCATTATCATTATTTGATTTCACCATCATTATCATCGTCATCATCATCATTATTGTTGTTATTATCATTGTTGTTAACATCATCATCACTATTGTTATCATCATTACTATCATTATCAACATAATTATGATTAGTCATATCAAATTATCATTCTTTCAATCATTCCCGTAATAATTAATCATGGTGCTTTTTTTTGTTATTATTACTTGTTATTATCACTATCATATATTGTTAGAAAATTTAAGAAATTTTTTTAAGAAAAGAAATTTAAGAAAAAAAAATTTTCTTGAAAGAAATTTAAGAAATTTTTTTTCGTAATATAAATTATGTTGAATCAATTTATTGTACCTATCAAAATAAATTATTTACATAACTAATAGATTAGTTGCTATGGCATAGTTTTATTCAAGTACCCGTGAAAATTATTTAATTAATTGGATAGACTAGTCATTTTGATATGGTATGATTTAAATAACTATGAAAAACGAATGTAACGTATCGAACATGTCAAATGAGATATGCGTTTGGAGAATAATAATGTCCAAAGAGTGCTTTTAAACTATACATCAAAATGAGCCAATCATGATGAATTGTTGTATTTAGTGCTTAACATTGTTTAATTTAACTTACCTTGTTTCCAATTTAAAAAAAAATTAAAAGGAAAGGAAAGGAAAACGTACTTAATTTGTGAATCGAAATTTTTTATCAAAAAAAAAAAACTTAAAATTTGCAAATCAAAAATGAATTGCGATATGAAATGGAGAATGTAATCGTTGTTTACTAAAAGTATTAATAATGTAATTATTATATCTGAAATTCAATATTTCTTCTTTTATCAATTGATAATTTGATTCCCATCAATATATCAATTTGTGATAAAATTGAATGCTACGGTATGTTGTTATATCCTAAGGTGCATAATATACTTTAACAATCTATTCTTGTTCATTATTGTTGACCTTTTAGGGGCAGCATGCATGAGAAGATAAATGTATATAAATATATATTTGTGGAATTTTTTGAATCATATTTCATTAATCATAGCAATCATACAATATTAATAAATTCAAAATTGTGCACAATTTTGAATTTATTGAAATTATAATTTAGATAAATTATTGTTACATTTTAAGTTTATAGCAAAATCTTCAAATTTTTTCAAAATTTTTGATTTATCCACCGAAATTTTAATTAATAATCATTGACACATATTTATATTAAAGTAATAATGTTGATATTATCGTTATATGCTTAAATTTATTTCATTGCTGCATGATTAGCTCGAGAGAGACATTTAATCGATTTATGACAAATAAAGCCAGATGGTTCAAATAACTTGGCAGATAATAAAATTCATCAATTTTTGATAAAAAAAAATTTCTTAAAATCAAAAAATTTTAAAATTTATTGAAATTTTTGGTTATCATTTTTAGCATGTTTTCCCCTGGAAAGGTTATTTATTTAATAACATAAACTACTTTATGTATATCCATTGATTTGACTTAGCTTGGCTTGACTTGACCTTTATTATTAGTGGCCATAAAACATTCATCATCTGCAAACAAAAGGAATATGCGCATATTGACCGTGTGGAAGATGAGGCAGTAATAATCCAGCTTCAATCGAATTATGGCTCCCTTATGATGCTTTTGCTATACTTTCTTCCGGGAATGGAACCCTCAAAATGTCTGCCATTTGTTATCCATCATTTTACTCTTAAAATGATTGTGTTTTATTTTATTATGCAAAATATTTTAAGTAAAAAAAAATATTCATAATTAAATACTATGAATAATGTCACCGTATTGTATTAAACTGTTACTACAGTGAGATTTAAGATCTTAATTAATTCCTGTTTTCAGATCCTAATTAACTTATCTTGTGAACTTATTTAATTCCTATTCATTTTTTCCCGAACATTTTTCATAAATATTTATAAATTCCTATTGCAATTATAAATTTCGATATTTATTCAAAAAAAGAAAAAGTTAACTAGTGATAAGATAGCATAAAATACCATCTAAATATGTTAGAAGTACGTGTTATCAATCTATAAAATAAGCTAACAATGATTTATGGAAGGATAATTATTACAATAAACAATTATTACTAGTTTAGTTAGCCAATAGCTGTAGCTAATTGTAATTTCGAGACTTTATTTGTATTTATTTATATAAGTTATTCCAATATTAAACCAAACCGTTATTCAATTTTAAATATTTTAATCCTGCAATTTAACATTTTGCTTCCTGAATTAATTTATGAATAAGAGAATTAGATCATCTTTCCCTCAAATTATTTATAAAAAAACAAAATGGTATTTAATCGTTATTTACATTTAGCAAGCAAACATTAATTAAATTAAAATGTTAATTGATTTAGATAAAATGTTAAGTGATATAGGATGGAACATTTACACTTATTGTCTTTTTCATTTATCACAATTAATCAAGTTTTTTCTTTGTCCTTATCTGATCATTGTTTTCAATTTATCCGTAATTTCAACTGTTCAAGCTTATAAATCATTCTTGTCTAAAAATGGATTTTAATTCCGTATTTATCATTTCATTTCTGCTTATTCTCTGCATTCTTCTTAATTCAATGGAAATATTTTACTTGACAATCAATCATTTTATTATCATTAATCATATTTGCATATCACTTTTAACATTTTTCTCATAGGTGTACACATTATTGTGAAATCTTGCAAAGTTTTTTCTGGAAGATTTTTATCACCATGTTTGTAATGTTACTTTCTGGAAATGATTGCTGGAAAAAAACTGACATGAAAGTGATTGGAATTATGTTTTACTGTGTTTGTTCCTGATTTGATTTATGATTATTCTTAATTTAGAAAATCTTTTTCATTTTCTTACCTGTTTTTTTTTTTGCTGTTTGATGCAAATAATATTTGATTTCCAAAAATATTTCCAATAAATTTCCTAGTATTGTGGAAAATATACGCTTTTCAGGTTTGCTAAATAATAAATTGGCAATGTTGCGAAATTGATTATTATTAGATTAAACTGTTAGCTGTCGCGAAGATGCAAATGAGAACTTATTTTAATTTTTCAAAATTTCAATTTGATATATTTTGTCATGCGACACTAAGATCACAATGCAAAAATCTATCGCTATCATTTTGTACAATCAAATTTAAATCAGTTAATTCCAATAGCGGAAATTTGAAAATTCTTCATTTTTTTCAAGCTGAAAAGTTGATCAAATATTAGGATATAGTGTGAAAGTAGCAAAGCAATTAGAACTAACAGTTTTATCATTTATCATTATTGTCATTAGTCATATCACATCACAGTCAAAACCATTTTGTTGTTTTCTTTTCTGCTTTTTCTTTTTTCGATTTAAATACTTTTCTTTAAGTGATTGTCATTAAAGAACCTTCTAAGAGTTAAGAGTGAACTTGCAAATCATTCAAATAATCATTGCTGTTATCGTAATATCAATTATGTCAATCAAATGCATCATACTTTTCTATAGAATTGTTACCACTTATTTCGTAATTGATATCCGTCTGCTCTCCACCTAATTTATGTAATTTCTTACTTTTTCATTCCATTGTTATTATTATTATTATTATTATTATTATTATTATTATTATTATTATTATTATTACTATTATTATTGTTGTTATTACTATTATTGTTTTTATTATTATTTTAGATTGGTGATGCATCAGAAAAGTATACTCTTTCGATATCATCCGCTCTAGCGGGTAATCTTTCCGAGCGTACTACAACTGATCGATTTCATTATATGAATAATGGCAAATCATTTACAACTATTGATCAGGATAATGATAAATTTCAGGGTAATTGTGCCCAATTTCGTGATTTTGGGTTAGTAATTTGTTTTGTTTATCATTTTATCAGCAATACTTATTGTTTTACGATTAATTTCATTCATAAACAGCTTATTTAGCGATTAATATCAGGTTTTTCATTAATTATAATTAGCATTTCTTAATTTATTTATTTCATTTATTTGTTAATTTGTTTATCTTTTCCATAGGTAACATTTATTAATATCTGAAATTCATTCTAATATATTTAAGCAATTAACAAATGAATAAAACATTAAATGGTTGTGAATGCAAATTTAAATTTAATGAAATTTATAATTCTATTTAATAGTTCTAATGATTTAGTTTCATTAAATCTAAATTTAGTAAAATTTATATTTCCTAATTTATAATTTATATTTTTTCTTTCCTTTTTTTTTTTTTTTAAATCTACATCCGGTACATAATTGTTCCGAAATTATTTTTTTAAATATATTTTTGAAATAATTTTGAATAATACTATATATTGAAAGTTCATAAATAGATTAAAACTTATTCCTGAACCATTCATATTTGATATGTACTTGATATGTACTTATCAGGAAATTTTTCCTGATCCGTCTTCGGTAGATGATATTAGCAAATTATTTCAGAGGTTGGTGGCATAATGATTGTGGCTATGTTGCATTAAATGGACGATACGGTGATCGAACATCAAAAATGCGAAATATGTTTTGGTTTTATGGTAGTGGTACACGTCCATTTATTAATTACTATATTAAACCACGAGAAAGCGAAATGAAACTACGATCGAAAAGTTGACCGATAATCATTTGGATTGCTTAATGGTCATTTAAGCTTTCCATTATGATTTATTTATATATACATATTTATGATTATTTTATGCAAATTTTCATGATATTTGAAGCTTCTCAAATTTCTCAAGGTATTTGATTTTTTGATCTTCTTGTCGTAATTTTTATTTTTAATTTTAGCCCTTCCACTTTCTCTTTTTTTTTAAAAGATTTTGCTTAATTTTTTATTTTTATTTTTTGAACAATTCCTTCAAATTCTTCTCGTCCAATTAGCATTACTATTATCGTAGTTATGATTATTATTATTATTATTATTGTTGTTGTTGTTATTGTTATAATTATTGTTCTTATTGTCGCTGTTACTATTATTCTCATTATTAGTATCGTCCCCAAAACTGATATCATTATTACTGTTTATTATGCAATAAAATTCTTTTAAAAAAAAGAAAAAAAAGGTGATAATAATAAAAACAACGACAATAACGAATGAAATGTGTTTTGCGTGAGAGATGCTAGTGGTTCATTTTTTAAAATCCCACTTTTTTTAACTTGTTTACTTAAAAAAAATTTTAATTGCAAATTATAGTTTCATTTCTTTTCAAATTATCTATCTGAAAAATTTGAAATTTATATAGATATACCATTTTTGCAATTCCTAACATTCCGCTTATCTTTTCCACAAAAACTTTCATCCGTGCTAATGAGAGAAAGTTGTTGATTAATTAAAAGGTATGTTTTAACAAATTATTAATATTGTCAAAAATTCCGAAAAAAAAAGGAGAAAAAGACGAAAAAAATTGACATGAAAACATTGTTTGCTGTAAATTTGCTCTTTCATATATATATATTTGTACACAAAGAAATCATTTACTTAAAGTTTTTTCGTTTTTAAAAGTTCAATATTTATAATTTTTGTAAAAATCAATTTTTCTCGCAACGTTATAATGTATTTTTCGTGTTGCTTAGCTAAAAAGTATTGCTTCTACTTGAAACCAATGATTAAATGATAAGCTGGTGATATGATAACTGATATTTTTGCGATGTAGTAATTAAGATTTGAAATTATGTAGTGCATTATTAATTATTACATTGATTTGCAACAACTGATAATACATGGCATAGACTATTTGACAAATCTTTATCACTAACATTAGAATTTATGCTTTTTGCATTCTTATCACTGGTAATTTCGTCGACCGTTCCATATCATGTGAACGGATATATCATTCAATTAATCAATTCTTGCTTGCAAGAAATAAAAAAATTCTTGGTTATCATAACTTAATGCAAAAAATAAAATAGTTCAGAATTTTCCAATTTTTTTTTTTAAATTTTACAAAAACTGCAAGACTTCTGTATGATCTAATAATAAATTATTCAATATATTTGAATAATCTTTGTAAATCTTGCCGTCAAAATTTGCATATTTGTGATTTGTGTCTTTCTGCTAAATGAATATTACGTGCTCTCTATCTTATCAATGATCTGAATCAAATGCTATCATAAATACATTTATCAGCACTATACAATTTATTAGACAGAAACTTGCTGTGAATAAAAAATTTTAATTTTATAATCCTCTTCCGAAATAGGATGCCAATTTAAATAAATGGGCTAAAATGATGCAAATTAGTTAGCACTCGATTATGATATCACAATAATTCAATGCAATGAATGATAATCAATGCCAAGAGAGTAATAAAGCCATTTTAGTACGAGAATTTAGTATTATCATGAGCTATATGTGGTATATGTTAGTGATAAATGATAAGACCGCATGAAATACTATCAAGTTTTGTTCCATATTTCAAACTTCCCCACAACTAAATAATTATTACAACTAAATGCACCTCATAGCAGACATAATGTGACGTATAGTTGACGTATGACATGTGATAGTTTGCCATTAATAGCCATACCGATTACCAAATAAAAAATAAATAAGCCTTATTTGAATAAACAAAATAACTGGAAGGAATGATTTCAACCTTAGCCAATATTCCATTAAGGCCAACATTTTTTCGGGATTATCTATATTTTTTGCTCCACTTTTTCAAATGTCTCATACGCCTACATACACCCACGTGTCCACCCCATTGCTCACAAACACCCACACTCGTGTATTAACATGCCCAAATCTACGAATGCTCCGCACCCCCACATACGCCCACAAGCCTACATACATCCACACCGTCCGCCCCATTACCCACAAACACCCACCACGTGCATTAACACGTCCAGATTTACGAATGCTCTGCACTCCCATATATGTCCGCACGACCAACATGCCCATATACATCCATACATACGCGCACGCTCACACAGCCGCACGCCCACACACCTACACGCCCGTCTCATTGCCCACAAATACCCACACACGTGCATTAACACGCCCGGATCTGCGAACGCTCCGCTCTCCTACATACACCCACATGGGTCAACTTGCCCACATATATGCATTCACAAACACACACATGAACAAGTACACATTTATACACACATACGTATACCAATACGCCCGCAAATACGCCCAGACATACATGAATAAGCACACATCTGTGGACATACATGTACCAATACGCCCACAAATACACCCACACATGAAATAAGCACACATGCTATACACACTTGTACCAATACGCCCACAAATACACCCACACACACATGAATAAGCACACATGTATACACATATACATGTACCAATACGCCCACAAATACACCCACACACACATGAAATAAGCACACATGTATACACATGTACCAATACGCGCACAAATACACCCACACATCGAATACATACGCATTGCTTACTGAGCGCACAAATATCTTAATTTGCAGTGTGATTTGTTATTTTGCTCTTGGAGAATTTGCATAATTTTTTTTAGAGAAAAAGGAAACTTTATTTAATTCACAACATTTGTAATATGCATACATATTTGTACAATAAAAATTGCAAAATTTTACGAATTTAAAAATCTGTAAAAAGTTTTTTTTAAATTAGCATACAATGTGATAAAAATCATCCAAAGTTATTCAATAACACTTTTCTTTTTTAATGTAAAGAATTTTTTATTTCCATAATTAAGTAATGCTTTGTGTTAATCTTTAATAAAATTAAATTGGCAACATTTAAAAAAGAGGGAACAAACAAGAAATTATTAATATTTGAAATGTTCAAAAGTAAGAAATTGTAGAATTTTGAAATAATTCATTTTTTCAAATAATTTAGTAATTCAATTCGGAATCAACCAATTTGTCTTTCATTTTTGAAATGATATGATCATTTCAAATTTGATTTAAAAATATTTATTACTTATTTTTTACATTATATTGAAGGAAAATGTATAAATTGCAAGTGAAAAATTAACTGAAAGACAGAAGTGCAATTGTCATAAATTTATCTTATTATAAATTATTCATTTAAAGACTTTTCCTACGTTGAAATTGACATTTGAACTTTGAATAATTGGCCAATTTGTCATCATTTGGTATTAGAATTCTTTTCGAATTATTACTATGATTTGATCGATGTTCGGATGAATTCGTAAATGCGTCATTAGCAAATGCATAAGACTGAAAATTAATTATGACACTTTTTTTTTTCTTAAATTATTGTTGAATTTATCAAATTAGCAACTTATACAGGAAATTGTCGTCAAAAATATTTTGAAGCTATATTTTATTAAAAATTGCATATAAATGTCTTAAGCCTATTTAATCTATTTTATATGATAAATTATTGATTTTTCACCTAGCAAATATCAATCAAAATTTTAACTTTTCCACATAATTTAATAAATGTATCAAATTATTTGGAATGTATCGGAATTAATTAAACAGTTATAAATTAAACAGTTACATTAATTGCTATTCAATTATTACTCTATTATATTTTCGCTGATTTTTTTTACTTCTTTACTGAAAATATAAATTAATCAAAAATTATTTCGAAATAAAAAATTGGTCAATTTTTGAAATTAATTTTGAATTAATTCATTTAATTAATGTACTATATGCAAACGTACGAATTATCACATTCATTGTGCACAATTTGTTTATAAGGTTTAGAATTAATTTGTAAATTAATTAATAAATTTTTTGAAAAGAAAAAAATAGAAAAATACAATTTGAACCTTTTCGTTATTTGCTACATCAACCATCATACAATCACCATTATTGGAAACATCAAAGATGAAGAATGGATTTTCTGTAATCACATGAAATATTTTAAATGAAAATGAAATTTTAAAAGATATTATTATTTTTAGCAGAAATAAATCCTAGAATAAAATTAAATTAAATAATTTGAAAAGATTATAGAAAATATATATTGGTTGAGATAAATTTTGATAATTTTTTTCCATTTTTTAATTTTAAAATAGGTTTTTTTGAGCAAGATTAATGGATGAATTATAATAATACAGTATGGTATTATTTTGAAATTTTCAACTTCACAAATACTTTTCGAAGTTTTTATTTTTTCTTTCAAAGAATTATAATTATTTTTAAAATTTCTGATATGATTTTAATCTAATTAAAATTTAAACTACATAGAAATGATAAATATGACAAAATTTGTTTTACTCTTTTCATACTTCGTCTTTTGCGTGTTGCAGGTGCTTCTTCGATTGTTTTAATTGCACCTGATAATAATTTGGATGGATCGAAAAATTTGCGGTGACAATTTGCAATCCATCTAAAATTGCAACTGTGACTACCGGATTCTTGTAATCCGGAAGCCATAACTTTAATTATTCATCAGGTATTAGCATTAAACATATCATTTATCATGTGATTAAATAGTTTTTAATGTTATAGTTAAATATATGTAGAATTAAATTGTTTAACTAATTTGATTAGTGTTAATCACCTCTGATGGAAATAGAATTAAGTTACTTCAGTAGTTCAATTAATGCTACTAATTAGTGGCCGTGCTAAAATATAATCAAATTATCTAATTAACATGATTAATGTTAACAAATAATAATCGAGTAAAAGTTAAAAATTAAATTATTTAAGTTATTTGATTAAAAAAGTACCAAAATAAAAACATACCGGCATAATGAACCACCACAACAGAAACAACAACAACAATAGAAGCAAAAAGACATAGCGAACATACCCAGGAAAAATGTTAATTTTTCTCGAATTTTTTCTAAACATTTCGATATATACATATATATATATATATTTATTAATCGTAATTTTAGATTTTAAAATTAAAAAGATTTTTAAAATTTTTTAAAATTAAAAATTAAAAGGAATTAATCAAGCTTGTAATTACAGTTTTCAAAAAATTTTGAAACTTTAAAAAGTTAAAATTCTTGAAAAAATTTGAACATTCATAAAGTGTTGACTACAAAAATTTTAAATTTTATCCAAAAAAAAAAAATTAGCAAAAATAGAAATGAAAAAAAAAGTACCATCTAACAAATAATGATTATTTCCATCATGTGAATCAAGCAATATTCGACATACAATAATTACGGTTATATTCAAAAGCATTATCTTAAAAAAAAAAAGAAAAAAAAAAGATCTTTGAAAAATTAGCAAAATTATGAAATCTAACAAAATTTTTACAAAATCAAATTTACTTTTTTTAATACTGTTTTATAATTTCCAAAAAAAAAAAAGAAATAAGCATACAATGCAATTTTACTTTTCATTTTTTTAATAAATTCATAGAAATCCTCCGAAAATTATCGATTAATTAAAAGTAACCAAATTAATAAACTCTAATTTTTTTTTTTGAAAAATTAGCAAAATTTAATTAATATGTAATTGTGAAAATGAGCTGAAAATTTTTACTAATTTTGCAACAAAAACTAATTTTTTAAATTTGTAACAAAAAAAAAGAGCATCTAGTTGGTATTTCATTTGAGAAGTTAAAAATTTAATTTTATTTTCATACGTAAATTGTTAATTTCATTTTATTTTGCAAATCTTCTTATCATTCTTCATTGCTCTTTTTATCCTAAAATTGATCTAATCATGAAAGCTAAAAATTAGAAATTTGTATTTCTTGTTCTATTGTTTATTCATTGCTTTCCTTATCATTGCTTATCACTTAATCGATAAAAAAGAGAAACAAAAAAAAAAAAGTGAAAAAAAAGACGAGAAAATTTCATACCAATAAAATAATTGTAATAGTACAACCCCAATTCTTTGGTTTTCCAGGCTCTTCTTCTTCAAACATTTTCAATAACGTGAAAAATAACAAAACTAAAATTCATTTAATAATTAATTTAATTAATATACGCAGGTATATACATATCAAAATAACATTTCTTTAATTTACTGAAAAATTTAAAAACGATAATCTATATTTGAAATTATTTACATTTAATTTATTATCTTATTTATAAATTAAAACAATGTATTAATTCAAGTAGTTGAAATGTTTCAAATTTCAAATACTGCCTCAGTGATTCAGTTAACTATCATTTTTTTGCATGCATCTTTTCAGAGATAAATTAAATTTTGTAACATGACTAAATTAGTTTTCACTGAAATGGCCCAAATCATAGATAGCCAAAATGATAATGCTATCCATTTTGGTTTGCTAAATTTAAGTAATTTTTGTTTTTGTTTCTTTTTTTGTTTTTTTTTGTTTTTTTTTTCAAGTATTAGTAGAGAAACTGTTTATTCGTTGTAATGTAAATATGATCATGAGGATGTATCAATTTCGTAAAAAATTCATATCTTGAATTTTCAATTTTTGAAATATTTACAAATCATAACAGATCTTTTCATCATTATAAAATTATGCCCACAAAAATTTGCATATTTTATAGAAATTGCAAAAAAGAAAAGATGAAATTTCATGTTCTCAAAGGCAATTT